TATCTTTACCAAGGCAATAACTCTTGCTTGTCAAGACTATCTCATTGACAAACTGATGATGTTCACCCAACCTCAGTTTGAGGGGGAGTGTAGAGATAGAGATAATCGAGGAGATATAGATAGTTGAGGATAGTTTTTAATTTTAAGTTATCTTGTATTTGATATAGATATATCTCTTGATAATACTAGATTAATTCATTATTATCAATTACTGATTAGCACTCTCTTGATAAGACTAGATTAGTTCATTATTATCAATAACTGATTAGTCGTTTACGTATAGGGGACTCTATATATTCTTGACGATTAATCAATACACAATGATTTTCCTAGAGGATTCAAAAGTTTAATAGAAAAGTCATAGAGTTGGGAAAAAAAACAATATTGTAGTTCATACTCTAAGTAATTCTACTAATAGACATTAAATTAGAAGGAAAATATGGCATAAATAGAACTTTAGAGTTATGAGACTTAGAAAAACAAATTGGTATTACCAACGTCATAAATAGGAATCAAAGAACTATTATCAATAGACACAAAATTCATATTTCTATTATTTTTTAAATTTGATATACATTATAAGTTACCAGTCATATGATATGTAGCCCTTGAGTCTATAATCCAAAAAAAAATGCTAAAAGGAGACATTGAATTATAAGGATTACCTATATCCTGAGAGGAGGAAAGGAGATCAAGTGCAAAGGAAGAACCCCTGATGTTACTTGGTTGCTGACAATGAACATATCTTGGATGCCTTTTATTACCGCGACTCCTTCCATCACCGCGATAATTGTTAGCGCCTCTACCTTCCATTATCTTGATATTTTCTAATTTCATACTTTTCAAGAATGAGTTGTGCTTTCTCCCATAATTACAATAATGGTTGTTTTGTTTTTTTCTCTTTTATAAGAAAGAACACTAGAAATTTTGACCACAAACGTTTTTTAAAGAAAACTGTGCTGATAATGGTAAAGAAATGGTTGTGCATCCAAAGAAGGATTCGAACCCAAGCCCTTTCGGACCAATGCCTAAAACTGGCGCCTTAGACCAACTCGGCCATCTTAAATCCAAGACCTCCACGCTCATAAACACCACACCACCATGACGGCTCACAAACACCCACCACCATGACAGCATGTCAAGCCGTCAAGAAAGAGGAGAGTTTTGCAAATTCCTTCAAAAAGCCGTCAGAAAAATAAGGAAGTTTGAACTTTCCTTTATTTGCACTATCCTTCAAAGTTCTGGTTCCATGCACTTTCCTTCAACCACTCCCATGCTCCAGCGACGAGATAAAAATAACCAAGGAGAGAGAGGAACGATTGGACCAAGTATGTCAAAAAAAAAAGGTCGCTTCTCGCCTTTAGAAAGGAGATAGAAGAGCAGGAGAGCAGAGTTAGCACACAGCGAGAGGGAGTTCTTCCATGGGTTTTCAAATTGCAAGGTTGCTGAGCAATAGTGATGGATCAACCTGCTTTGATACCATGTAGAGATTGCAAAACGAGAAATAAAGAAAGATCAATACAACATACACGTGGTTCGACAATGGTATTTATGTCGTAAACGAGTATTTCATTCATAGGGATTACTCTGGTTTACCAGACATTTATAGAGTTACAACTCTTGCATTTTAAGAAACAATTCTCATTACACTTGTAATCTCACAAAATTGGAAAGTCAATAAAGTCAATATATATTCTCAATATTTGATAATTTTTACTTAATATATATCATCAATATTTGATTACTATCAACACCTCTATCTATTTATAGTCTAACAACTCTTCATTCTCGCTTGGGATATATTCTACTTTTATTTTTGTGAAACTTCTCTAAGGATGTTGTTTTAAAGCTTTAAAACTTAAAAATGAAAATAGTATTTTAAAAATTTTATTGAAAATATTAGTTGTACATATGTATCTATTAAAGTAATAATAAAAAGAGAGAATCAACCAAGGAAAAAAAATAGAGATTGAGCATAATTTTCAAAGCAATATCCCAGAAGCTCAATATGCAACTCCAAGCCCTGGTCACTTAAAAAAGAAACTCCATCAATACCATCACAGAAAGAAAAGCTAAAACCTTCTTAATGCATCACCATATATGTCACATAAATATATTAGTACCACTCACAATCTAGAATCAAGAACACTAAACAATAAATGAGAAGACAAATAACATTTACCATATAAAATAAGACAAAATCAAAGTAAACAATTAATATAAATAAGAACAGCAAAGATACAAGATCACAATCACCAACATACATTATTGAACTTTTCTTAATTATAGAAGAAACCTTTATTGAATCCATGGAAGAGGAAGAAAACCAACAAAATCCAATGATTAAAAATAAATACTAATATTGAAGAAGAAAAGAGTGTTCTAAGTGAAAGTTACATCTATGACATGCACGAGATTTCCGCTGCTTGGATCCCTGTACTCTCTCTTCCCACAGCAAACTCAAGGGAAAAAATATTAAAATATTAAAAAAAATCTTGGTTAAATTCTATATGTGTCTCTTTTTCAAATTTTAAGGCATAATGTGGGTTTTTTTTCAAATGCGGTTTTAGAAAAGATATGGAGAGAGATTTGCGTTCGTGAATATTCTACCTTTATCTCTCCAAGAGATCTGTATCATTCTACCTCTCCCCAAACTCACCCCTGTTTTCCATCCTAAAGAAAAGGATTACAGGGAGAACCGTCCATTCCAGATAGAGGAATGGAAAATAGAAAAGAAAGAAGCTAGAACATATAGAATTTTGCGATATTAGGATTATTTTTCTATCTTTAAAATAAAGCAAATCACAGTAGAGAAAAATCAAGGGGCTTTGAGATTTTATAGGGAGGAGGTATTTTAGGAGAGAAATGAGAGGGAGAATTAAGTACTCACATAAATATTATAAACTATTTATTGGGAACTTGTCATTTAGAGTTCATCACATCCTATAATTTGAAAGTTATCCCTATTAAGAAAGGGGCTGGGTTGTAGTGGTAGCAACCTCATGCTTAGTTATCAGTTTATCACGTTGTGGTTTTCAATCCCCGGTTAACACCACCTACCGACACTTTCAAAAAAGAACCTAACTCCTAAATCTATCTGGAAAAAAGGATATGGTCAGTCTTCCCAATGAATTACCCAAAACCAGAAAGACAACCCTCTCCATGTGTACAACTCTCTCTTTAGAAGTTGTATGCCCTACATCATCTTTAACAATAGGGTCCTTGATTCTTGCGATATGAGCCCACCACTTCACCGTGGCTTAATATGGTAGTAGAGATAAATGATATTAATAAGGTAGTATATATAAATGATACAAAATCTAAAGGACCATCTTGCATATGATTGTCTTCAACCACCCCAAATCTAGGGGTGGCAACAGGTTGGGCCAGCCCTAGCACTAGCTCGGTTCTTGTACTAAAAGGGGCTGCCCCGCCCTAACTGGGTCGAAAATGCCCAGCTCGAACTGGCGGAGGAGGCCCGGCCCAAGCCTGGCAATGGGCTTATCAAGTCCAAGGGTGTCAATTAAGATAAATGCAAACAAAGGAAAAGTTAAAAGGTAGAAAAGGGTTGGGATGGGCTGAACCTGGCCAGCGTTATCGCCGCCCAAGCCCAGGCTGGTGTCGATTCTCGCTGGGACCTCTAGCACATTTTGTGTCCTAGGGACTACTTTTTAAGGGCTAGGCCAACCTGGTTTGGATGGGCCGGTCCAACTGCTTACTGCCAAGTCTACCCAAATCACAACCCAAGCTAGATTTGGGGTTTGAGTTCAAATCTTAAAAATTATGAAACAATTTCCATCCTACATCTACTAATGGTTGTGAAGGAATCAGAAGTCCTTGCATTTAGGCAAAACAAAGTCAATTATTTTTTTTTTTGGGAAAATTATAGATACCCAAAATCAACTTTGTAGACATCCTATTCCAATATATTTAGTATCACACCTAAGATCCCAAACGCTGTTTTTTCTTGCATTAATACCCCATGAAAATGTCAAAATGTTTAAGACTAAAATTCTTCCCCTATGTTTTTATAGTCATGTATTTTATGATAAGACTTTCTCTCTCTACCAGCCTTCTCTCTCACTTTTTCTCTCTACCTCTCTCTACCTACCCTCTTGCTCTTTCTCTCTAGTTGCCCTCTCTCTTTTTCCCTCTCTTTTAACCGCCATCCCTCTCTCTCCACGTGCCCTCTTTCTATACTCACCCTCCCTCTCTCTTTATGCTCGTCCTCTCTCTCTCTACTCACCTCTCCTTCTCTCTCTTTTTTTATCGCTCTCTCTATCTGCCCTCTGTCTTTATTTCTCTATCCCTAGGCTCTGATTTCATTTTGATTTTTTTTTCCCATAAAAACCGTAGATTTCACCCTTGGGCCCTACTAACCATGGATTATCTTGATATGTTGAAAACACAACCTTCTTTTTTTCTTTTGTTTTTTTTTTGCCCTTTTTAATGAATCTGTTAACTATAACCTTTTTTACTTGGTTGTCATCAATTTTGATGGAGCAATGAACAATAAAATTAAAGAAGAAAAATGAAAAATCTCAGGGAAATCAGGGTCTATGTATTCTTGTACACCAATTGGGGAATAAGCAAAGAAAATGGGATTAATGTAATAGAAATAAATAATAATAATAATAATATTATTAAATATTAACATTAAATATTAATATTACTAATAACAACAACGAATGCAATACTTTATTAGTGAGTATGTTTCAAGCTTGAAAGAGGATGACAATAGAAGTGGGAGACCCATTTGGCTGATGGGCCTTGTGGAGGGAAAAACGAAGATGGCGGGGAGAGAGAAAAAGAGGGAGTACAGGTAGAGAGAGAAAGTGTTGTCATAAAACAAATGTCTACAGAAACATAGCGGCAGAGAAAGGAAAATGACATTTTAGTTTTAGAGTTTTTTTGACGGATAAATACAAGAAAAACCTTAATTGAGGAAGTACTCTCCCAAACATAAAAAATTATGATTCCAGGTAGTACTCTTACGAGACAAGTCTCTCCTTCCATATATTTCTCAGTCAAGGAGGTCATGGACTCGTTCAAAGCAAAAATCCTTAGCCTCAAAAGCTTTGGCACGTATTGAGGTTCCAATCAGTTATATTTCTTTCATACATGATACAAAATCCGAAGGACCATCTCGAATATGAAAATTAAATGCTTTACAAATGGAATGAAATGGCAAAAATCTTTTTTTTACCGTGGAAGAATGGAAGAAACTTCAGATATGGTGTTTGACGCAGAAGAGCTAATGGTGAGATGACTTGATGTTGTGTCTGAGTAATGGGATGGATTCCTTGGAGGTGCATAGTAGGTGGGCACAGGCATTTGGGATGGGAGATCAGGAATGGGCTCTTGAAAGTTCATGACTTGTATGGCTTGCCTAATTGAAGGCCTCATAGATTCATCAGGGTGTGCACACCATAACCCAACCACCATGAGCCTTTCCATTTGGTCCTTGTCATAGTTCAAGCCCAACCTTTCGTCAACTGCATCAAACAACCTCCCTCTTCCATAGAGATCCCATACCCATTCGACCAACCTTGCCTGCAAACTGTCGGCCTTCCGGTCGACAGGTCGCCTTCCACAAGCAATCTCTAGTGTCACAACCCCAAAGCTGAAAACATCAGACTCTCTGCTAGCCTTTCCAGTGATAATACACTCAGGTGCCAAGTACCCCATGGTCCCGGCAATCACTGTTGTTTCTGAGGCGCGACCATGGTCGACAAGCCTAGCTAGCCCAAAGTCCCCCAACTTCGCATTGAAGTTGGAATCCAACATGACATTGCTCGATTTGATATCTCGATGGACCACACATTGTTCCCACTCTTCATGAAGGTACAGAAGAGCTGAAGCCAGTCCACAAGCTATCTTATACCTCACCTCCCATGTAAGCCCGACTGTAGCTCCGAAAAGATGAGAATCAAGACTTCCATTGGGCATGAACTCGTAAACAAGAAGCAGGTCACCTCTGTTATGGCACCAACCTAGAAGTTGAACAAGATTTCGATGTCGTAAACGGCTTATGACAGTCACTTCTGAGACATACTCCTTAGTTCCTTGTTTAGAACCTTTGGAGATCCTCTTCACTGCTATCATGTCATTGTACTCACCAAGGACACCTTTATAAACCCCCCCAAAACCTCCCTCTCCAAGTTTGCCATCCTCGCTGAAGTTATGGGTGGCACTCATGAGCTCCTTATAAGAAAATCTCCTTGGGCCAGTACCTTTCATAAAGTTTTCATCCATTTTTTCATCAAAACCCCAATCCTCCTCCTTCTCCTTTCCTTTCACTCTCCTACACCATACACCCAGAGCCAAACCTACAAAAAAAACTAGAATTGCACTGGCTATGATAAATCCCAATGCTATATTACTTATAGTAACATCGTCCCTAACCTGAATGAAATTACTAGTGAAATTCCACTTAAAGATTTCATGTCGAATGATTTGAGAACCAGTGGAAGCTGAGAACCCCATAATTACCTGTTGAGGGAGGACCTGGCTCAAATCTATCTCATGAGTAAGATTCAAGGATCCAAAAGCCACAGGGACCTCTTCATGTTTTAGAAAGACACTCAAATTCTTTGATGCCCCATCATAATCAATACGAACATAGACGAAATCACTGCTTGTCATTGTATCTGTCCAAGTTTTGCTTGCGTTCGAAACAATGGAGTTCACATCGATTCCGACATGGTCTACAGGAAGATCCCATGAATCTTGAAATGTATCGAACTCCACAGCCACCATTTGATTCGAAGAACTGTTATTTGTGGTCTCATTGAAGAGGCCAAGCCACCCACCATATGAATTCTCCGGGATCACCGAACCAACCGGAGATAAGAAGAAGGCAAGGCCCCCTCCCGAGCCATTTGTAACTGATCCATGGATAGCAAACACGAACTCGGTTGTGAAACTAACAACATTCGTGTTTTGCGGACCCCATATATCAATGGGATCCTTATAGAAGACTCGACCTGTGCTGTTTCCCCATTTTCCACCAATCTCTTGGGGTGTGAGTGGAATCACGTCCGTGCCGAACCTAGCATCGCCTCTGACTGCAATGTTGGGGTTGGTAGCAGGAAAAATGGCCAAAGTGATCTTTGCAGAGGTGAAGGAGACAAGGAAGAAGAAAGTGATTACAAGCATCAGAGAATTGCAGTCATAAAGGGTCATGGCTAGTGTTATGAGAAAGCAAATGGGAAGTAATTTGTGAAAATAAAGGTAGATGTCATGTGGTTTGGTTCTGATAAGTTATTCTAGTGATGTTCATCACCGCATATATGCATTAAGATGCATGAGAAAGCTTATCGGGACATGAGCGAGAGAGCCGCCGGCCCTGACCACCATTCCCATGACCAATTCACAGTTGGAAGTCTATAACGTTCAGCTCTCTCTTTCTCTCTAGGAAAACATTTCCTATTCCCTTGGGAATACACTATTTGTTTATTCCTTTGGGTACAATACATGCTAGAGATATTTTTTAGATCTCAATTTTTTTGAGATTTAATCTCTACGCTAATCTTAATTAAAAAAAAAATTTGAAATAGACCCTCCATTTACTAGAAAAAGTACTAACACTTCAAGATTGAATCGAGACTGTACAACTTTTTAAAGGCTCATTCTAAGTGCTACAAAACTATTTTTTCTTTTGAAAATAATAATTTTTACGTGGTTGGCAAATTTTAGACTAAAAAAACCCCCTAAATACATGTTTTGAGGGAGGAGTAGATACACAATATGCTCTAGTAGATAAATAGTATTCACGCTTTTTGAAAAATTGGAGCGACGGTGTCACACTATAAGGCGTGGAGCGCGTACATTGAACGCAATATGGCTCAGCTTTAGGATTATTTATTTAATTTAAGGCCTTTATTATTTATATATGAGAAAAATTTATATAAGGTTGCGCCTTAATGGATTGTTTAATATTACATTACTGTAGAAACCACGCCCTTTACCTATTATTGATGGATCGATGGTTCACTTTCATGGGTTGAAGGGTCCATGTGTTATCCCTTCTTTGAGCCCTAGATAACTTGATCCACCGAGGTGGTGAAATGAAAAGTTCGTAATTTAGCGGCTGTAGCTGTCCGACGACATGATGTTGTTGGAGGGAGACTTCCACCTAATTAGGCCTCGGAGATGAATCGGGTCGGGTTTGGAGCCAATCTTAATACATCTGAATTAGCCCCTGCACCTTGGTCAGATCCAAGGCAATGGGATCGAAGATTATAAATAAAAAATTAAAAGGAATTGATTTATATATTTTATAATGGGAAATAACTTTGTGAGACCCTCTTACACTCATGTGTGTAAGATTTCAAAAGATCACTATTAAATTTAGTATAAATCTCTAAAAAAGTCAAATCTCACACCCATTGGATAATTTTTTTAAAAATCTGTATCAAATTTAATGGTGATCTTTTGAAGTCTTACACATATGGGTGTGGGAGGGTCTCATAAAACCATTACTCTTTTATAATATATAATATATAATATATATTATGTATATATTATACTAAGACTTAATCTAATAAGATCTAAAGTGTACCCAATCTAAACCCAACCTAAGTCGGGCTAAGATCAAGTGGACCCCGACGGATCCGCCAGGTCCATCATTTGGTACAAGACCGAGACCCAATCTGATCAACCTATTTGGTCCACGCGTCGAATTGAAAATCGACACATTTCCAAATTTCCACCCACATAGGCGATTTTGTGGACTTGCATTCAGTCCGTAGTTCTCACGCAACGAATCATGTAATTTCCCTTCCTCCTTCCCCGAGAGATAATATGATAAAAATCACATGCACATTATATTAAGTCTCTACTTTCTTCTTTTAGGAAAATTTCAATAGAATCAAGGGACCATAGGGCAATTAGAAGCTGGAATTCGAATTGGAAATTCCTATTTTGAAATCTAGATAGTAGAATTTTGGTTACCTTGTTATGAACAATTATAACGTTTCTGTCTAGAATTTTGACAACTGTAAAATAATTCATAGATGGTGAGATCTGAAAATTAGCCATTGCTAACTATTCATTGAAGTTAAAGTAATGAGATTTTGAAATCATAATTTGATGCAGGGAGAACAATCACCAATAAATAAATAAATGGTTGAGAAAATAAAACAATTCTCAAAATGTACAAACGAGTCCATCCTAAAAATCTTTTCATACAATTAAATACACTCTCTTTAGTATCAAATACCCTGGTTTCAAAAAGGAACATCATTAACTTTACAAACAAACTAAAAGAAATAATAAAAAATAAAAATAAATAAAACCCCACAAAACCAACTCTATATCTCTCTCCCCTCATGTTTCTCTCTTTATCTCTTAGTGTTACCTAACTCTCTCTCAATCTTACATAAATCTCTCCCTAATTGATAGGAAACTCCCATAAATTAAGGGGTGTTTGATAACAACGTAAAATGGTGAAAGTGCCCGACTTTTTCTGATAATGTAGTTTTCGCGTAAAATGGGGGAAAGTTGGAACACATGTTCTGCCCATTCACTATTCTTTTAAGAAAAGCTGCTGCTATGGGGTATCGCAGCACGATTACTTTCAGCGAAACTCACGCCACC